GGGGGGGGGGAGCGGGCGCTCGGCGCGCCCCCGGGCACGAGGCCGAGTCGGGCAGGGGGTGGGGGCAGGTGCGACTGAGCTTGCTGCCCCGGGCGCTGGCCGGCGCACTCGGTGCGGACGGACCCACGACCTGATCACCGATCGGCCTGGCTCACAAGCGATGCATGCAGGCAGCGCCTGGCGCATTGCTGACGCTCCTGCCCCGGCCCGCCCCCACAGCCACGCACCCTCCGCCCAGCCCTCACCATCCCCACCCACACAATGCCCCATTCCACGCCCCTTGCTCCAGAGCTGCACCTCCGGCTGCTTTGCCCCCACCCTGCAACATTGCTGCCGCCCAAAAGCTCCGCCCCTGCCGCCGCGCCTCTGGTAGCAGAAGCAACCCCAGCCACCCGCTTGCCGCCCATTTGGAGGGGTGCACGAGGGTCCCGCATGCCACCCCTCCCCTTGCTCCCGGCCCTCACATACACACACATAACACACACACAACAGCCAAATCAGAAGCTCACACATGCACACACAACTACACACATGCATACACATACACACACACGCGCGATGACATCATAGCCAGACCGGAAGCCCACCAGGCGCCGCCTCATGTCGCGGTCAGCCAGCTGCGCCGCGCGGTCCGCCTTGAGCCGCGCCGCCACCTCGCGCTTCAGCCGCGCCTTCTCCTCCTCCTCCCGCTCCCACCGCTTCAGCTGGGCCTGCGGGGCACAGGCAAAACGCCATGTGCTCACGCGTGTGTCATGATGCGTGCCAGGCGGCTCGGCGGTCTTCCCGCGCTCTCAGCGCTGCTTCGCATTCCTCGCTTGCCCGAGGCTTCTCGGCAGCTACCTTGTGCTCTTTTGGCAAATACCACAACACTCTGCATCCGGAATGACCTCGTCACCCCCCAAATACTGGGCCGAGGGCTGAGAGGGGGACGACGAGCGGCTGCTGCCCCAGCAAGCGGAATTCAAACCCTCACACCGTCTTTCGTCCAGACCGCCCACCTGCTCCTCGTGAAAGTATGCGACCTCCTCGTCGTGCTCCCGCGCCTCCCCCGCCTCGCGCATCGCCACCTGGCCGGCCAACTCGATTTGCAAAGCGCGCGCCGCCTCAAGCGCCGCCGCGCGCTCGGCCGTGTCCTTCGCCTTGCCTTCCTGCGAGGGGAGTTGATCAACGACCATATAAGCTTGCTCAGCGACACACATCCTGGAGGATGCCTGTCGAGAGCGATACCTATAATTCAAAGTGGCAGGTGCCCCAGCCCATCCGCTTTTCAATATGCCCTGACCACTATTGCACGGCCGGCAGCACTCCACCTGCCGCACCAAAACTTGTAACCCCGGCCATCAAATCCCCTGAACCTTGTTACCCCGGCTGGCCACTGGCGCCCCCAAACCTTGATGTGCATCTCGTATATCTTGGCCCACTCGTCGGCTTCCTGCTGCGCGCGCTTCATCGCCGCCAGCGTGCTGCGCCTGCGCGGCGAGCCGCGGACGCACAAATGTGGTTGATGCCGGCGGCTCGAGCGGGCATGGGCGGCGCTGATGCAATGGTGTTGGCATGTTGGATGACAAGCGACGCACGAGAGGCCCGCACGGGCCATCAGCTGTGCAGCAGCAAGCTTGCTGTGGCGGCAGCAGCAGCTGTGCGGGCGGCGGCCGCAGCCAGCCGCCCACCATCTCAGCCAGCACCCCGTCCCTGCCCGGCGGCTCACTGCGGGGTGCCTCCTGTGAGCTTGGCGCGAATCCTGTCCTCCAAAGATGAGAGGTCCTGCTCCTGCAATGTTGTGAGACCGAACTGCGTGCCTTGAGCAACCGCCCGGGTCAGGGCGGCTCGGGGTGTCTGCAGTGCGGCCTGCGCCATCAGCAGGGGCTGAGTCACGCATGCCGCTGCGGCTGCTGGCAAAAGCGTGCTGTGCTCGACAAGGGCTTGCGCAGGCTGCGGCACGCGTGCTGCTGAGGGTCATGCCCCGGACCTCTGCAATGGAAGGCACACGCATGTATGGGCTTGCCGCTTGTGCACTGGAGACACAAGCGCAATCCGTCTGCTGCTGCTGCTGCTGCTGTCGCCGCTGCGGCTGCTGGGGCGCACCCGCATGCCGCCCGCATATTCCATGAAGGCTGTGACCTCCGCCGATATGATTTCCTGGGCCTTCAAATCACCAGCCAGCTCCTGCGCAGTACGTGCTGCACTTCAGCTGCATGCAACGCACATTGACGTGTGCGCATGCGGGCAGCAGCTGCGGCATGCGATGCACGCGCGCAACCGCGTGCTTCGGTTTCGGAGACGCACCGCAAACTTGGCGCGCATGCGCTTGATGAGAGCGCCTTTGAGTACTTCCATCGTGGTTGCCGATCCCGGAGTGGCCTGCGAGGGAGACAAGCAACGCGTTTCGTGCAGTCCACACTGCGTGTGCGTGGTCAATGCGGCAGCTCTCCCGACTAGGCCTTCATTCACCGTGCGGCTGCCCGTAACAAGCCTATTCGCTGTCCCTGCTCTCGTAGCGGGCGCGGTGCCCGTGATGCCAAGCCCTTTGCTCCCGGGCCGCGACGCCATCGCAACAACACAGGTCTGTGCGTGGTTGATGATATATATGTACAGGGGAATTTACAAGTAAAGTACACTCGCGACACGCGCCTCTTGATACAACGCAAATCGGCAGCGCAAGGGCCGCACAGCTCACATGCCGCAGAGCACCCAGCTTGCCTGTGCAGTTTGCAGGAGCTCCAGCCACCAGCATCATACGTCGAGCCTGCCTTGCCGCCAACCCTCCTCCAGTTCGACCCGCCGCGGCTGCTCGCTCCCGTGCTGGGCCCACGCCTCCGCTTCCCCGCGGGCCTGCGCCGCGCCGGCCGCTCGCACTTCCATTCTGTAATGCGCCCACTGGCCAAACCTGACGGCCGCCATTGCAAGGTTGGCTGCGCCCAGCCACCAGCGCACGCGCCGGGCGGCGGCGGCGGTGGCGCGCAAGGCGCTCCTGGCCTGGGGCAGGAGGGCGACGTCCGTCTTCGCCCTCATAACCAGGAACGCTTCCAGCTTGGCTAAGGATGTGGTTGCGTGGTTTGAGCATAGCAGCGATTCCATGGTTGCAGTCAAATTAGGAACATGCTAAAACATTGACAATCAGCATGCAGCAACCCACAGTGGGCAAGACATGGCCGAACCAGCTGCCTCTCGCGCCACCCATGATGGACGGCTGACGCTAGCATGAGCAAAGTTCATCGGAACCCGCCCTCAACACTGCTGTGCGACCCACCTTGCGGCCGCGCCCCCTTTCCAGCCGCCTGCCCCGCTGCCGCCGCAGGAGTCGGGGCGTCGCCGCCGCCTCCCTCCCCCGCGCCGAGCGACGGGGCACGCGCCCCGGAGGCGTCGCTGCCGCCGCCCGGCGCCCCCGCACCCTCGAGAGCTTCGGCTGCTTGGAGGCCTGGCGTGTTTGTGCGCGCGGCGTAGGCGGCAGTAACCCGACTCCAGGTTGTGGGTGAGGAGGTGGAAAGGCCTGGCAAGCAGAAGATCAGCAGACACAAGGCTGGTGCAGCTGACATGCTGGGGGCTAGAGGCACGCGTGCCTTTTCACAGATGCGCGACCGCGGCGCACCGTTCAACCGGACGAATGCCGCCGTGTCGGGGACCTCTGCTTCGAGCAACTGCGACAACGGCCAAGTTTTGGTTGGTTCCGGGGTGCAGGCGGAGGGAACAGCGGCCGCAGCTGAGGCATGCCGCCTGGGCCCCCGAAAGGGAAAACAAGACGAGCTGGAAAGGAAAGACTGCAAGGGCACAAAGCAATTTCGTGTCGGGCCTTGTGAACATGGTGTGGGGCCTCACCTTGAGTAGGGACTCCGCCCTGTGAGCCATGCGCGCCACTACAAAGAGCGCCGGGACAGAAGCCACCAGGAAGACGGCGCCGGCGCAGCAGAGCGCGAGGAGCCCCAGCGACTGGAGGAGCGCAGGCAGCTGCAGCGCAGGCGGTGCTGCTGCGGCGGCGGCGGCGGGCAGGGCACGGATTGCGACAGGGCGTCGCCTCTGCGGCAGCGACGGCGTCGGCGTCATGATGAGCGCCATGCCACTGCTCGCGAATGCCAGGGCGGGGTCACATCTGCGGGGAGGTGTGCAGCGGCGCCACTGAGCTTGTGAGCGCCCGGGCGCCAGTCAGCGGTGCAGCGATCCACATGAGTCAGGTGAGACGCCCGCCACCTCACGCGCCATGAACCGACCTGCTCCTTCTCTGCGCTGTGGTGGTTGATGTATCCGTTGGTGTGCCATGCCGAATGAATCGTGTTTGTGGGACTCTGCAGACACTCAGTTGCGATCTGCTGCCAACAGAGGTATCCAAGACAAGCCGCTCGCACATTGCTGCACTTATATGACGGTTCTACGGCCCTGTTAAGGCCCTGGTACGGGCCCTGCGTTGATTGCAGACTGGCCGGCGCGGCTGTTCGCCACGTCGATTGCTAATCAGGCACATAGAGTATGAGTGCCAGGCTCATCATGCGGCGCGTCGATCAGCGGCTCTGTTGCACCACCCAGCATGCGCGGTGGTGCGCAGCTGCCGCATCAACAATTGGTTGTGCACCAAGCAACAGCAGGGATACAGGGCGTCACCTTGCACACAGCAAGGCTATGTGTTGTGCTAGACCTGGGTGCGACCTCAGGTCCCGCTCGCGTGTTGATCTTTCTGCTTGTGACGCGCACATCGCGCACAGATGCGGCGGCAGCATTCCCGCGACAGCCGCAACTGCCGACGACCGTTGCAACCTCCTCTGCGTCAATCACACAGGCCACCCGCCTCCAGACAGTCTTTGTAAGGGAATGTGGGGTTACGGGGCCGCTGCGGCAGGGCGGCCACGTCAGCTGGCAGCACTGGCGTTGGCTGGGCCCTCCGCTGACGCGGCAGGGGCCGCCGAGCTGCCCACACAGGCGGCCTTCAGTCCGACATCGTGCGAGCGCGCGCTGCGCACGATGGTCAACCAGCTGGGGAGTGCTGTTGACTGGGCTCAAGAGGTGCCCTGGCTGATGCCGGGATGTAATTGCAGCCCCCAAAGCTCCACTGGCCTCGCCCCGACTACGGCAACTCCTGTCCGCCCGCACCCCCACAATTTCACCAGCAGCGAGAGAATGCTATGCTGACCCCCCTGGACGCTGACACCCGGAGATGGGAGAAGTCACCGCCCACCGCCTGCTGCAGCGAGCCAAGTTCGCGCAGCGTCACGCGGTCATCGCTGGTAACAACCAGTGCATTGCCCACCACCAGGACGCGGCGATACGAGTTGGTTCGCAGCGGGAAACATCAGCCGCGCGTGCATCGGTTTGCAGCTTGGGACGATGAATATGTGCAGCAGCGCACCTCTGCGGCACTGCAGCTTTCTGCTCAGCCCTTGATCATGCACATCAACAAAGCATGCAGCTCGGTTGAGCTTGCGTTGAGCAGCTCCGACTTGCGTATCATTTAGGATTACTGGCCTCAAGCCAAACGCACCTCCACATGCCGGCCCTCACTCCCCGCATCTTGTTGTTGATCGCGGGCGACGCCGCCAGGGCGCTCCGCCTGGGCGCCTTGGCGATTGCCGCCGTCCGCCAGACAGCACTACTGCCGCCAGCGCCGCCGCAGCCGCCCGCACTCGGGCCGCTGGCGCCGCAGCAGCCCGCCCCGGGCTGGTCAGCCTGGCAGGCCGCCCGCGCCTGCCGCAGCCGCCCGCGCAGACGCGCCCCGCGGCTGTTGGCAGGCGCTTCTGCCACTCTGCCCAGCGTTTGTTCGTCGTTCCCCGGCCGCCACCCCCGCCGCCGCCCTGCGGCTCCACAGCCTCCCACGGCTCTGCTACAGCCCGTGCGCGCCGCGCCCAACCCTCATTTGCCATGCCCATGCACCGGGGGCAGCAATCGGCGTGACCACGTTTGTGGCGCCGCAGCCTCCTGCATGCTCCTTCCCGCCCGTCGCCCTCCCTTGAGGCGCGGGTGAACGAGCTTTGGTCCCGCCTGCATGTCATGCGCCGCACAGTCTACACAGAGCTTGATCTATCTTCTCTTGACTTGCATAGGGGGACCTGGCCTACCAACACAACATTGCCCTGCGCAGGCACTGAAGTGCCGCGGCACACATGGGTGGTTAGGTGCACATGCCTTGTCCACACTTGTCACCCTCTTGCGCCCCGCCTTGCTGAGCTTGGCGTCTCCCTTGGTTTTCACTTCGCTTCGTTTGCTCACATGCGTTGTGGCTTGGGGCCTGGGCTTGGGGCCCTGTGCTGCTAGGTCAGAGGCCGATCGCTTGTTTCGTGTTGCCCTCACTGCATGCCCTTGCGTCCTTCTGCGCTTTCGAACGCTGATCAATCTGGCTTTGCAATTGCACGCTCTCTGCCACATGCATTTTGGGCTTGCAACTGCCCGCGTGGTTTGCGCTCTTCGTCATCACCGCCTGTGAAGCGCGCAGCCGTCCGTGCTTCGCACTCGCGCCGATCCGTGCGCTGCATGCATTGCCATTTGGGTCCGTTTGTTGAAAGTGGTGGACGTGTCTTCACGCCTGCGGTGCCCAGCCGGGGGGGCATTCAGTCATGGCTGCACTGCATGGGGTTGCTTGGCCACAGCCTGCGCCCGGCGCCCGTTGCGCGCCGGCGCTCATTTTGCACGCCAGCTGTCCCGCGCATTCAGCTGCGGCGCGCAGCGAGCTTCGGGTGACCCGCCACCCGCCTTTCTGCCTGCCGCTTGGATGTCGCCGCTTTTAAGGCCGCGCCCATAACTGCGAGGTTAGTTGGTCTGCCACATTCCCCTCGCATTGCCCCTTTTGCGATGGATCCCAATCTCGTGTAAGCCAGAGGCTGATCACCCTTTTGCCGAGTGCCTTGTGGATGCGCCCGGAGGCAGTTGGGTCATGCAACCACACAGCCACAGCCATGCATCACCAGCGAGGAGCCACCCCGAGATAACCAGAATGACGGCCACCGTCGCTCAGCTTCCTGCTTGTAGGCTAGACTCTCCTCTGCAACTAGTCGTGGCTGCACTGCATCGGATAGCTTGGCCTCAACCTGCTCCTGACGCCCATCACGTACCCGTGCGTATTGTGCTTGACGAAGCATTGAGATGGCCATCAATTAGACTTTGGACTCACATGATCCCACAGTCAACCGCTATTTGAGCTGTCCAGGCACATGGGAAGTGACTTTTGAAGCATCAGTGTTGTGCAACTGGGACCAAAGTGGCCGCCGTGCGCCGTACAAAGCAGGCGTGCACAAGGGCGTCATGTTCCACTCTGGGGTGCATTGTGCACAAGCGCGCGTGTGCAGGCAAGTTTGCAACACAGGTGTAAAGCGCGGGGCGCAACATACTCGCACAAGCAAATGATGTTCTCTGTATGC